ATAAAACAATAATAAATACATTTATACCATATTTATCTTGAAATCTGTTAAAGATCATTTTTTTGAGTTTCAACACATACTAGCTTTTAATAATAGTGTACTTTTATATTTAATTTTTTCTTATAGATTTTTTAACTTTAACATGTTTCTTGGCACACATAAACAGGTTTTAAATAATTCTGTATTTTGATTTACCTGTGCAGTATCATAATTTAAACTAGCAGCTTTTTGCTCCAGTTGTAACATTTTCAATCATTCAGCACTTGGTTCGGGTTTTGTCCTCAACATATTTGGCACTAAGTCATGAGAAAATGTTGGAACACGACGATTTTCAGTAAGCTTGCATAGTTCATCGTCTCTATCTTTGAATTAATAGCAAAGGTAACACAGTCAAGCTACGCAACTGAGGACCCATTTCAACTTGGAGAATTTTTGATAATCCTGTAAGCTATTGATAATATAAATATTTGAGGTCATTAATAACATAATCTAGCATAGAGTAATCTTGATGCATAATAAATACAACTTACATGACTTGATAATAAAGCAAAATTGTCCAGAAAAGAAGGCCAGTTAATAGTTTCATATTGAGTTTCTAAAATCATTATCATATGGCCTATAGAGTTCTTGATTTCGTTTACTCTCATAATAATTGCATCAAGAATTGCTTCTTGTTGTTTCTCTTCGCGCTGCATTTTTAAATTATTTCAACTATATATTTCACACTCTAAAATATATTACTAAATATGTATTGTTTTCAATAAGCATCGAAAGCATTTTTTTAAAGTCAGTTCAATTTTAACTCCACTTCATGCAGGAGAAAACATTTATTCCAAACGTCAAATTTGACAATTTTCAACTACTTGTGATTATGGCATATAATAATAAATAAAGATAATAGTTGGACTTATCAATTTATTTTTTGTTTGTTATAAAAAATATATTGCTTATATTATAAGTGGTTATTTTTAAGTTAACGTTCAAAGACACAAAATATGGAGTCTTTTCAAGATCAATTTGATAACCTCAAAAAAGAAGAAGCCGAAATAGACCAGAAAATTCTTGAATTTCAGAATAAACAGAAAAATGGTGAATTAATAAATAACAATACTAAATTATATATAAGTCATCATGCTGTTATTATTTTTTATTTAAAAAATATATTTCTATAGACAATTTGTCGACAAACAAACATACATGAAGTTGTTACATGAGTATAATGATTTGAAAGATGCCGCGCAAAACCATGATTGGAGCTTTGGCAAATATTAAGGTTTGTAAATGAAAATTATATAACAGTTTTTAGAAAATTATTCATTATTTACAATATATATCGATTTAATTATTTTTTTATTTAATTAATTAATTGTTATTTATTTCAGGGTGTCACAGTGGCCGCTGTACACAATCAATATAATTTACCAACAGATGATTAGAATTGTAAATTTACGTTAAGTTAACTCTTGACATTGAAATAAATTTTTATATTTTTGAAAGTAGTTTTTATTTGAAATATACTATAATTGGCACTTATTTTACTTAGTTTATTAGAGATACAAACATTTTTCACTACTACAAGATGAGTCACCGTATAAAATCACTCCATATTGAAGTCATTGATTATAAAATAAAATAGTGGTGTATGGTGTATGGGTATCGTGCCTCAAGACAAATTGCTAGAACTTCCCGTACCATAATAAAATATTCGTAAAAAAAATTAGCAAAAAAGCTTATTTTTCTGAAATTAAAAGAAAATGAACAAAAAAATCTTCCCCAAAAGCAATCATTTCGTCAACACAAGCAGAATGTTTTTTTGAATCATTCAAATCGGATACTTAAAGTTATCTCAAAAACTGCCATTTTTGCATATTTATCTGTATCTCCAAAACTGCTGGACCTGCCTTTGCACAAATCTAATCACTACTTCTCCTCATCATTGCAAATTGAATATTTTGGATCATTCCAATTGGATGCTTCGTTCTCTCTCAAAACACGTTTTCTATTTTCTGCACTCTTTGCTCCGTATATCCGAAACGGCTGCCCTGCCTTAGCCAAAAACTAATCTGCACATATTCCTATCAATAGGAGTCGAATATTTTTTTAACCATTTAAATCGGTTGATCTGTGCGCCCGAAAACGTGAATGAAAAATTGCATCCATACATACATACATACACATACCCACTCAAATACCCACACAGACACACACACAACAATCCATTTTTTCTAAGGTATGCCAAAACGCTCAGAAACCTCTGAAACGTTAAGATATGCAAAAATTTTCAATTTCGATTACCCTACGGGAAGTTAATTATAAAAACATTTTCTTATTAATAAAATTTCATCATTTTCATGTAAACTAATATAACATAATAAGCATTAAAATTTTTCAAAAAATTTCACTACTACATAAGTCACAATATAAGTAATCTCTATATATTAAAATTGATTATAAAATAACTATAATAAATAATAACAACATTTTGTTAATAATGAAATTCTATGAATTTCATGTGAACTGAAATAACATAATATATTATTAATTAATTAATTTAATAATGATTCAAACTAATATGTTTTTGGTAAATAAAAAGCCATAACTATTATATCAAGCGCTTGAAAATGCATATGAAAAATATAGGGAAAGTACAGGGTGTGCCATTTATATTTGGCCAATGGAAAAAGTTGAATAATTTAAGAACTTGAATAGTTTCAATGAATTTTTATAAACTTTTACATTACTTAGTTTACATTATTTAGTCTTACATTTTTTCCAGCTAGGTTCGATAAACAAGCCTGTAAACAATTATTTAAATACCGGGGTGGTTAATGTGCCCATACCCTTTGTACTTATTATTAAAATCTCTATAAAATATCCTATAATTTGGTGTGCGAATGTCTAACAATTATTTTTGAGGGCTAAATGACATTTTTTCATTTTTTCTGGATCTCCGAAGCCGCTGAATCTGTCTTCAAAAAATTTTCATAAATTTTTCATTCCGTCAATACAAGTGAAATGTTTTTTGAATCATTCAAATCAGTCGCTCCGTATTCTCAAACACTGAATTGCCATTATTGGCACTTTTTGCACCGTATCTTAAAAAACGACTGGACCTGGCATTGTCAAAAACTAATCAGCACGTCTCGAAATACGAATCTGTTTTACGAAAACTGTTTTTTTATCAATTTAAATCCGTTGATCCGCGCTCCCGAAAACGTCGACAAAATATTGTATTCACACATACATACGCACACTTGCACATGCAATGCTGGATTTACAGTAGAGGCAGTCGGGGCTAGTGACCAGGGCGGCAAATTTTTTAGGGCGGCAAAATTTGGAAATTAAGTAAAAAATTATATCTATAGAACAAGTATATATAATGCGCGATAAATTTTCTGCAATCAAATAGTTATTTATTTTAGAAAAATAAGACATAAAAAATCGGGCGGAATTTTCGTCAGTACCCCAGGCCAAATTTATAAATCCGGCAACATGCCTCCATTTTTTCTGAGAAATGCCAAAATGTTCAAAAACAAAGAATTTATTTTCGATTTTTCTGCGATTTCTATACTTATCTTATTAACTTACTTACGTAAAGTTAACAATATTTTATCAATACAGTATTTACACTAATTATGGCACTAAAATGATATATCCATAGTTATTACATATTTATATTCCTTTAAGTAAGTATATAGTATCGTAATTTAATATATATTATAACGTTCGATTATAAAAACTCAATTTAGGCAATAAGGTCATCTATCAATAGTAAGACTTTCATGTGTTTGGCAATTTTGCAAATTGTGCATATATTTGATATGATATACTTATTAGCTTCCAAGTAAAAACAATGCAAGTCATTTGTGCAGACTTTTTTCGTCATTTTTCTGTTTTAAAAATTATTTGCTAATTTTATGTATTGCTCGACGTTTCAAGATATACTGAATCGTTTGAGAACAAAAATGTAAAAATAATATGTGTGCTGCAATTGAGTGTGTGCATAGATATAAGAAGATAGTGTGAACCATAGATAAATAAACATAAACCAAAATTTGAACTGAAAAAGGGGCCACTTTATTCAATGATATCTCGGCCATAAGGTGAGGTACAAAGTTAAAAATTGGTATATCGGATTTTTTCAAAAAGACGTCCTTCATTCCGATTTTTTCAAAAAAGTGCGTATAAATTATTTAAATATCTGAAGGTGTATAATTTAAATACGTAGGGGTGTAAACCAAAACCTGACCTTTCGTCTACGCACACTGAAATGGCTGCACCTATTTCCGAAAAATTTAAGAGTCGTTTGATGTAACTTGGGTTGATTAGTTTTTTGCGACCATAGATCAAGCCATTTCTTCAGAATAAACAGAAAAGTGCAAATTTGTCATCTACGTTTAGTCAAATATCCTGAATCTTGTTAAAAATTTATAAACGGTTAGCAAAATATTAGGAATTATACTGATTTGTATTTGGTAAAGAACCTTTCTTTATGATTAATTATTTATACGTTAGTATAAATTAATTATACGTTTAGTTGTTCAAACATGCGGAACGTTTCTTCGTAATTAATTGCTAAATTTGACGATTTTGAAGAAATATGCTCGGTTATAGAGTTCCTGATCTTAACTGACCTGCTAAAATATTTAATTATTTTATTGAAAAGTGGTTTAATTATAAAAAATCATTAAAATTTGGAATAGTGAACCGCACTATTGAGTACACTCCGTGCTCGCCGTGTACATTCCGTTCTGTGTATTTTGTACTGATCGCCGTTGACATTTAAACGTAAGTGAAATGATAAAATATATTTTCAGAGCACGTGGTAGAATAAAATGTGTTAAATAACAAATTGAATTATAGCGTGTATTTGAAAGATATCAATCTTCTACTGTTCTTATAGATAATTGTATGATCTATGTAGAATAAAAAATAATTGAATTCCTTTATGAAAAATTCATTGAAATATTTTTTTTGGAAAGGTAGGTACACAACAAAAAGTAGAAAAGAATACCATTTGGAGGTCAAAAATAATCATTCAACATATGCGCATCAAATTATTAAATGCAATCAAAAATTTTAAGATGCATTGTGAACGCACCCTGGTATGTTACAAATGACACCCTACATAAAGACTTAAAAATAAAAACTATTAAAGAAATGTTAAAAGAAAGGAGCAAAAGATACCATGAAAAACTACCAGGTCACCCAAACACTTATTTAAAAGAGTTAAGCGAGGAATATCCGACACGCAGATTGAAAAAAAATGGCCATTCGACCTTAAATAAATGTCAAAATAAAAATATAAAAGAGAGATATCTCATAGGAGATAATCTCTTATATGCATTAAAACCAATCACATTGTCTTAAAAAATGTATTTAATTTTGATTGACAATAAAAGTATGCAAAAAAAAAAAAAAATTATTAAATTTTTTATAGAGATTTTAATAATTTTCTGTAATAGCAGTAATTTTCTTAACATTTCTATGGTTCTGTGCCAAGATCTATATTATTTATCCGTCAGGCTAAGACGCGGCGCTTACGCGCTTCGGTATTTTATCTCTAAAACATCTACGTAGGCGACTGCTTTGAAAAAAAAAAAATCGAAATTTCCGATAATCAAAAAATTTACACAAAATGTGTACACATTATTAAAATCTCTATAAAATATCTGATAATTTGATGTACATATGT